TGCTTGATAAAGAAACTTGGAAAAGGTTCCAGCATTCGGAAAGATCCTATTCGTTTGGCCAAGAGTTTACTAGCCAAGACTTCCTTTTACAATCTTTCAGCACAAGCTTGTGTCACACGGACCTACATTTCACATCTAGCCACAAAGCATACTCACTACTGTTATGAATATGTTGACAGATGTACATGTACGTCTCTTGAAATCTAGAAACCTTTGGCGGTCAAGACCCACGAAGCTGTAAGCTGTTAGTCACAGCAACACGTAAAACGAGGAGTGTGTATGACCACCAGCTGCTTGTGTGTAGAGTGTGCTTCACTGGACAACGTGGAAACATGCTTCATATTCATGCAAAAGCCATGGGCCCTGCACCACGACATTCGTCTGAAGCTGCGATGTTCACACCGTAGGTTGTCTGCTCGTTGATAAAACACCCGAAATAATTTTTTGGTCAGCAGAGCAGAGCTTGGAATGCACGGTCCCAGGCGCATGTCACAGTTTGGATTTTATCATGCGGCGCAACTGTTTGGCTCTTAGCTTGAGTGACTCACCTACTCTCTATTCGTCTTTTGCTTGCAGTTGCCGCACGGCAGCAAAGGTGACATGCAAGGATCACCATGTAGCGATGCTCAGTGTGGTGTCTCAGGTAAGCCCTCATGGAGCTTGTCTTTGGCAAGCTTATCTTCCTGGAGGCTGCTGCGAAGGTTTTGGAGTGTGCCGGACTTAGGAGAAGGCAAGGAAGCGCTATGGTTTGTGCAGCTCTTCATGTTTTATGAACAGTGTTGATGTCTGTGCGCTGCTAGCCTAGGTCCTGTGGCGGCAAGCATTGCCGTGGCCACATCATCCGGATTGCTGAGCAACGGACTTCTTCATGATGCTGTTCCACAGCGTGGCGAGACTCAAATGTGTAGGTCGCGTTACTTGCCGAGAACATATGATGAAACATGGCATTATGAGCAGTTCTGAGGCACATTCGCGGAGGTCGTTGGTGTGCAGAAGATCAGCCTTGATCGGCCGAGCCACTCGACACATACATACTCGCGCACAAACTTGGTGTACGCAGACACACATGTCCAGGACCGTGATTGCCTTTGCAACTCTACTAAGGCAAGAAGTCGCAGGTACTACTTGGATTGCCAGGTTTCAACCTTGTTCGATCCAGTACCTTGATTCGTGCATTCAGACAGTCATGTGTGATTAGTACGGTTCATAGAGTTTTCCAAGTTTCTTTGAAATCTGCTGAGGCACCAAGTCCCAGTTGCACCATGGGATCGTCGGTTCCACGAGCGACATGCCCATGACTACAAGCGAAGTAGAGAGAGAGAGAGAGAGAGAGAGAGCACCACAAAACCAAAGAGATAGACAGACAGAGAGGGAACTCGATACGAACGCCGTGTGATATGATGTGGCCGTGTCAAGTATAAATCAAGTACATTCCGAGGTGACAACACGTCCGACTTTTATCCTCTTCGCACCAACGACAACACTGCCCTATGGGCGAACTTGCTGGCGCTGGATTCTACCGGTCGCAAGTCCGCCAGCTCGCACATGCCCGGCGGGAAACGGCGACCCTTGATGCTTGTGCCGCATTGGGGCGGTCGAACACGCAAGGAGAAGCCGGTGGACAGCCCATACACTGCTGAGAAACCATGCTTGGTCAAGACGCTGGGGGCTGGCCCAAGCATGTTGGGTTTCTACCAACGGCCAGAGCATCTGCAGCGCGGCCACCGCAGCAATTTCCGCGGTCCTAGAAGACAGACCTGGTGCCGGGCTCATTTGTGTTATACAAGTATGACCAACTAAAGCTTTGCATGGCAGACTCCTTAGTTGCACAAGGCGTATACCTCATGCAATCCGCTAGAAAAAAAGCTGGAACTTAGCTGAGGTCTACCGCAGCTGTATGCGATGATGCCGAGCCGCAGAGTACTTAGTTTGTGCCTGAACATACGACAGCATTCGGCGTGCTCTCCACACAGATGCAGTCTGCCATCGTGTAGGTTTGAGCGAACTATCGTTCGTGAGGACTGTCACAAGTACAACCGATCTGGATGCCAGTGAGCTGTGCCCTGAGATTGACGGCTTTCTGCACGGAGATAGCATCAGACTTTGTGGCGTTTGCTGCTTAGGGCGACAGTCGAGACGTCAGACAACGCTGGTCCGCTTGAAAACGATGCTGTTTCGACGGTGCCGAGCTTTGCAATATGATCTGTCAGAGTCCTTGCATACCGAAAATAGTCAAGGACTTGTTGCGGCTTACCTGCATGGACTGGACGGCTACGCCGCATTGGTGTTGCCTGGCCATATTCATCGAACCAAGTTGCATTTTCAACAATCGACCCGAGACGTGTTCTTTTTTCTTTGCTTCAGTTGTAGAAAGCAGGCCAAGAGCTGAAAGTTAACATCCAAAAGCGGGCGGGCTTGTGCAACATCTGGACCCACGAGCCGGATCCTCGCGATGCGGAGCAGTTGTGTTTCCTGGCAGTGTTTGTGCATCTGAGTTTGAACGACACGGGTTTCGGTCGATGCTTTGTCGTAGAACGACACAACTGAGGGAGCAGTTTCTTGCACCATGGGAAGGGACTTGTGGGAAACCCAAGTTGGTGTAACTCGGCAGACTTGATAGCAAAGTTTATCGCTCGGGGCTTTGTCCTGAGTTTGTTTTCTTATACTGCGCTGCAGGCAATAATCTGGTCGGTGGCATCACCAAGCGTCTTCTCAGCACTGCCCATGTCCAGATCCACACCGATTGGCGGCCAGCTACAAGCAGGATTGTTTGTGGATGAGCAGTTCACACACATAGGTTTTGCAGTTTTGTGCGCTTGTGGCGATCGTCCAGATAAGAGTTTACAGAACTGTACGGGCCATTGGTTCAGGAAGTCCGGCCCGAAGAAGATCAAAGTCTTTCGTCCGTCGCCCATCGACAGGCATGAGGAATGCATGAATTTTCAAGCAGACATCTTCCTATAGAGACTCTTGTAAGCTTCGTTGCGTTCCCGGCTGAAATGACAGGTACGGCCACTGGCTTTCCCACCTGCTCTTCCAGGACGAGGAAGGCCACTCGTCTTCTGACCATAATCAAGCTTTTTCCTGACAGATATAGCTTACGGGCTCGTGTTGTACGGCTTCGTTGTGCGGCAAAGTTAGAAAAAGCCCTATGCAGTATCTTCAAGCCTGGAGATCTGAAAGCTGTGCAATAATCAGCCATAGATCATGTTGTCCTTTTAAGGACCGGAGCAGTCGTCTCGACGGACGCAGTGCTGTCTCGTCGACAGCCTCCGATCCTTGGGGGCGAAGGTGCCCTACCTCGAGGACGGCCCCTTCAGTATCCGACAAGATGACGTTATCCTGGCAATCGGTGTGTCGAATTGGTTCGGTGGGTGGGCTTGGCTGGCTCGCAACCGTTTCACCTTCTTGGTATCCTAGCTCAATGGAATGGAGTTTCACTTTCCCTTTCTCTGTGCGTGAAAAAAAAACCCTAAACTCTAAACCCTAATACTGAACACGCACACACACACACACACACACACACACACACACACACACGCGTGCACACATTTTCATGTACATGTCTCAGACTAACTGTAACAATCGCTCGGCATCTCGCAGCCGGCGGTTTCTCAGTCAAGCACGTCTCCAGAAAAAGAGATGGAGAAGGATGCTGTCGCTAGTAGGATCATGGCTCTGAGCGAGGATCAAGTTGCCATCGGATGACCCAAGTGGAGCATAGCCTGCAAGACCTTTTAAAGGTCGCCATGAAGCGGACGAATGACATTTTGGATTTGAAGGAGATCTCTAGGAGGCAAGCGGCACAGATAGCTATTTAATCTTGTGCACGAGGTGGAAGGCCTCAAAAGACAGCTGCATGACCGCAGCAGATCTCCAAGTTCAAGAGCATCAAGACCGACCGCCTTCTAAGGGCTGACGCTGTGTGCTTGGCAGTTTTGTTGCAAAGAGACAAATTTCAAACAAGCAGGTTTTGGGATCGTGAGGCTAAAATTCATCCTGCTTGACATGATTGCTTGTCGTGGATGCTCTGATGTGTAGTAAGTTGTCGTTCGAGAGCAACCAGCATGCTGTGTGAGCAGACGCGCGGCTTTCACAGTCAGTCACTCTGAGCACCTGGGGCTCGAGAGTGCGACATGCCCCTTCCTGCAGTGGATGCCTTGCAGCCTTTTTGGATTCTGTCGTGTTCTGGTCTCTTATCACTGGGGTGCTCGGTTCTGAGTTCAGGTCGGAGGCATCAGATGCTGATGCGCAGGCTCGGTAAAGAGTGCTTTTCAATGTTGGTTTCCAACTTTTTTGGCAAGGCTGCCTGCAGCTCGACCTGGAAGTCCAAGCTGGTCTGATGCTCACCTGCCGCAACATGCCTGGAATTGGGATCATCTTTCGACCATGCTTTGCTGCAAGGCTGCTTCGAGCAACATTGCCGGCAAGGAGGCCCAAGTCCTTGAAGTTTTAAAGATATTGGTATTTCATACTTATCTTTTGTCTTCATGGCAGGCCAAGATGATTTCGACGTCATGCAAGATGCACGGGAAGCAGGCCTCATCCTGTGTCCTTTCAGGGCATCTGTTTTGGAAGGTTGCTGTGAAGTGGATTTTTAAATGAGGGAATTTTAATGTCACTACTATGCAATGTGAGCAAGCTATAGATCATGATCCTTGGTCCCTTCAGCGTATCTGCGATAAGTTTTCTTTTCTTATCTTTACCCATCATGCCAGGTCAAGGCTTCGACATCTTCCAAAAAGCCCCGGAAGCAGGCCTGATCAGGTGTCCATTTTCAACTCATGCAGGGGCGCAGCAACTGAGTGCGAGCGGTACGGATGCATTGTGTGTAGCCGCTACACTGTAGCGCTCAGTCCGAGTCTAGAGTGTGTTACGCCACCATGCGGCCGGTAGCAATTTTGCTCAATATCACATATTATCCTAAGCCTAGCAACAGGCTCCTCTTAAAGCTTTGTAGATGTTACTTTGATATTTGACAATTGACCTGCCCAGCCATCATGTCCATGATCAACTCCAACTCGCTTCGTGCTCGGGATGTGGAGCTCTTGATAGAGGCGCTCAAGGGCAAGCTGAAAAACAATGAAGAAGACTTGATCACGTTCGTTTGCATGCAGCTTGAGCATGTGGTGGAAGCCCTGCGCATGAGCACAGGAGACTGGTGCCAGGTGCCACGCGTGTCTATGCATGCTTCCATTGTCATAGCTTGCTTTACCTCAGCGAGATTGACTGTGGAAAACGGCCCGGGTGCAGCGACGATTGTGTTGCCTCCTGCCGATTATCTGGTCCGCCCGGGGCCTCTCAATGTCATTCTTCATGATACCTATGACAGCTTGTCAATTCCAATGCTGAAGGAGCATATTCATATGGTGCGAGGCACGAAGCTTGTTTTTGAGCAGTTTGGATCCACCTTCAAGTTGGTGCCCCTGCTGCAAGTCTGTTTGGCTGAGCTAGAGCCTTACTTGGATGAGCTGGGAGACAAGATGGAAGCCCACCTTGGAAGCTTGACCGTTGCTCGTGGTGGCATTTTGGAAACTATGGACTAAGCTGCGGCTGAATCTGAAAGATTTTGGGTCATGTATGTGCATTTGGGAGCCTGCTGCAGCTGCAAAAGACAGTCAGCCAGCGTCTGTGCACACTACACATCATGATGCTTTGTCCTTTCAGCCACTATCTGCAATGAGTTCTTTAGTTGTTTCCTGATGGCAGGGCAAAACTTCGACATCATCCAACGTGCCCCGGAAGCAGGCCGCATCTGGTGTCCGTCTGCAATTTCGAAGTTTGCTTTGTCCTTTCAGCCACTATCTGCAATGAGTTCTTTAGTTGTTTCCTGATGGCAGGGCAAAACTTCGACATCATCCAACATGCCCCGGAAGCAGGCCGCATCTGGTGTCCGTCTGCAATTTCGAAGTTTGCTGGGCCTTTCAGCCACTATCTGCAATGAGTTCTTTAGTTGTTTCCTGATGGCAGGGCAAAACTTCGACATCATCCAACATGCCCCGGAAGCAGGCCGCATCTGGTGTCCGTCTGCAATTTCGAAGTTTGCTGGGCCTTTCAGCCACTATCTGCAATGAGTTCTTTAGTTGTTTCCTGATGGCAGGGCAAAACTTCGACATCATCCAACATGCCCCGGAAGCAGGCCGCATCCGGTGTCCGTCTGCAATTTCGAAGTTTGCTGGGCCTGGGGTGAGCTAAAGGACGGAAGGTCTGCAATGCGAGGACCTACAATCCATGACAAGTCAATGTGATGCATCGGTTGTTTCAAACGTCTTGTTTACTGTGACTTTACTTTGTGTTTGAAGCCTTACGACATATTGCCGTGCACCGTACTTAGAGTCAAACTGACTCCTCCTCGTTGAACTCTTGGGAAAAATACTACTTTCAAATTTCGTAGGTGCTGTGGAGGGTCAGCTGAAGAATGTGCACCAGCTGGCCTATCGGCTCCGTGGTGACCTGGGGTTGTCGTCCGTCTTTTGCACCAAATGAGTGTCAAGCTGCTTCTTGGCTTGGCTTGCTGGCAGGCTGTTCCAGTGCTGATTCGAAACGGCTGGCAGTAAGTTGCAGAATCAGTGATTCTGCAACTTACTGCCAGCCGTTTCGAATCAGCACTGGAACAGTAACATCAGGCTGGTTCTGCATGCGGCTGCGAAGAATGGAGAAAGGCGAAAGGACCAAGCTGGCCAGCCCACCATGGGCTACCTGTCGCAGGTAGTCCATCGTTGGCTGGCCAGCTTGATGGCTTCGCCTTTAATGCTGTGGAGGGTCAGCTGAAGAATGTGCGCCAGATACAAGGCTGGGAGGCAGCATTCGCTGCCATTAGTGGCCGACGGCTCCGTGGTGACCTGGGGTTGTCGTCCGTCTTTTGCACCAAATTCAAATGAGTGTCAAGCTGCTTCTTGGTTTGGCTTGCTGGCAGGCTGTTCCAGTGCTGATTCGAAACGGCTGGCAGTAAGTTGCAGAATCACTGATTCTGCAACTTACTGCCAGCCGGCTTGGACTTCGCATATGCTGCGGCCTTGCAGCACCGTGCGGCATCAGCTTAAGAATGTACAGCAGATCCAGGCCTGTGACAGGCATTTTGCCGCGATTCTAGGTGATGGATCGGTGGTCGCATGGCCACAATAGAAAAAAACACTTTACTGAGCCCGGGCGGGTGTCGATGATTCCCTCAGCCATGTCGTCCGTGCGGGTTTTGTTGGCGACTGAGTTTCACTCCATGGATTCAGAGACGAGGATGAAGCGAGCACGCATTGGAACACGTGATTTGCAGCCGGTGCGAATCCAATCATCCACAAAGCTTTTATGCGGCCATTTTTGGCGATGGATCAGTCGAAGCGTGGGGTTCTGATGACCATGGTGGTAACTGCCGTGCTGTGCAGCATGAGCTGTGGGACGTGCGGCAAATCCAAGCCACCGATCGTGCTTTTGCTGCCATTCGTGCTGACGGCAGCGTGGTCACCGCGATTTTGCAAGACAGATCCGTGCTCACTTGGCTTGGGGCAGCGAGGGTGGGGGCAGCGAGGCTGGCGACAGCTCGTCTGTCCAGGCGCCAACGATGCTTTATTTTGCCGCCATTTTTGGCGGATGGCTCCGTGGTTACCTGGGGAATGGGGTCTGCTGGTGGTGCTAGTTCTGCCGTAAGAGAGCAGTTGAGAAACGTGAAGGCGATACATTAGGGTCGGCCCCCGCCCATTAATAGTGCAAAAATAGGTTTTGTATATATCACACAGGCCAAAATGAGCACCAGGAAATCCAATCTACTTCTTTGGGTATTTGCCGACATGTGACCAGGAGTAGAGACACCTGGAGTGGATGGGCCCACGCAAATGTGGGAATATGTGATCAGATATGATCCAATGTCGAGAACCTTGTGGCTGAACGGCCCAAGCAAATTTCGGATGTGTGCAGAAGTGTGATCCAAAATCCAAACAATCTGTCCCTAAGAGATTTGGGATGTGACCGCATGTGTCACGATCCATTCCAAACGCGAAAACTTGTGTGTGCGAAGGGCCGCAAGACCACCAACCAGGAAGATGACTTGTGTAGTAAGTAGTAGTTTCCCACTGTGTCCGAATCCTGGAGCATACATGACCCATACACCGACCACAACCGTGGACCAGAGCACCTTTGCCTTTGACTCATGACCCAACCGCGACAAGATTACGTCATTTATTTACCTTCTCGGTCTTGATGGCATGATTGATTGCATGAAGGGTGCTGTCGCCATGGCATTGTGAGGTCAAAACCATCGCAGCAGGGCGCTGTGCTGTGCACACAGAGTTGTGGACTTGAGCCATGAGCTATTGCATAGCTGCATAGCATAACTGTACGCTGTGGGCTGTTTGTGTTGCCAGCTGTGATTGGAGGGTTGCGGTACTGTCCAGCTAAGGTTTGGCAGGCGTCGGCGTAGTGGTCTGCGACCCTGCAGAGGCTTCAGTGCTGCAAGCACAGAAAAGCACCAGAAGAGCACCAGAAAAGCACCAGAAAAGCAGGAGCTAAGCAGCGGGCGAGCACCAGAAAAGCAGGAGCTAAGCAGCGGGCGAGCACCAGAAAAGCACCACCTGTCAGTCAAACAGTGAGCCGTAGATCCGCGCAGGGCCTGCGCGCCTTCCAAAAAAACCAGATCATGTAGCACAAAAAAAAAGCACAATTTAGAAAACTACTCAAGCAAAATTAGCACCAGCAAATCGCAAAATTAGCACCAGCAAATCGCAAAATTAGCACCAGCAAATCGCAAAATTAGCACCAGCAAATCGCAACAGGAGCACCAAAAAAAGCACCAGCAAAGCACAAAAAAAAAGCACAATCTAGAAAACTACCCAAGCAAAATTAGCACCAGCAAATCGCAAAATTAGCACCAGCAAATCGCAAAATTAGCACCAGGAAAAGCACCAGATATGCTAAGATTTAATGGGACACAGCTGCACACGATTAAGTTTATATGAGAGGGAGCACCAGCGAGAGCACCAAAAAAAGCACCAGCAAAGCACAAAAAAAAGCACAATCTAGAAAACTACCCAAGCAAAATTAGCACCAGCACATCGCAAAATTAGCACCAGCAAATCGCAAAATTAGCACCAGCAAATCGCAAAATTAGCACCAGCAAATCGCAACAGGAGCACCAAAAAAAACACCAGCAAAGCACAAAAAAAAAGCACAATCTAGAAAACTACCCAAGCAAAATTAGCACCAGCAAATCGCAAAATTAGCACCAGCAAATCGCAACAGGAGCACCAAAAAAAACACCAGGGTTTTGCATCAGACTGCCATGAAAATGTGATCATGTTTTTCAGACTGTCATGAAAATGTGATCATGTTTTCTAAAAGGAATCCGGTTCTGCTACTAAAAATGATCGATCGGCCCGGATCCAGCCAGAGGCCGGCCACGGCCGGGATCCCCTCAAGCCAGGGCCCGGGACCCCCCAGGCCCCTGCCCCAAGCTATAAGAAGGAGGACGGGGTCGAACCTATAAATTTTCGCAATCTACTTTTTTTAATATTGGCCAGTTTTTGCGCGCACTTTGCGCGCAAAAACTGGCGCCACACGACCCCCCAAGCCCCATGGCCCATGCCGGTGTGGCATGAGTCAACCTGTTGGCGGCTTGAGCTGGAGCTGTGGCTTTGAGTGAGCTTAATTCAGTTCAGTGTAGCAGCTTCGCAGCGATCACTTGGCCCACCTCAGCTTAGCTTAACGTAGCTTAACTTTACTTTAACGTATCCCCGAACTTTCAAGTTAACAGTTAAAAGTTTTAACTAAGTTTATTCAATGTCAATGTATTCTACTCATCTCTAATTTGATTCGCTTGGCGGCTGAACTTAGCTTAGCTCACCTTAGCTTAGTTCACCTTAGTGTATTTTAATCTATTTAGCTTCACTTAACTTAAAATATTTCAACCTACCCGAATTTAGCTTTACTTTAACTCGACTGCAACCTTAACCCCTGAGCCTTAAGTTGGCCCCCCAACTCAATGTGAACCTAACCCTTAACATCATCACCGATGTCCGAAGATGTGCATCTGCTTGACTTCTGTGCGCCTCGAGTCTGATCATATCCTTAGGTCAATTGGGCCTTTTTCGGGGTGCTTAATTTGGTGGGTCTGATTGTGGTCACTATTAATGGGGCGGGGCCGACCCTAAGCGATACAATAAGCCACTGGTGAGGCCTTTGCATTCCTTCGACAGGACGGCTCGGTTGTTACCTGGGGCCGTGCTGGCTGCGGTGGTGACAGCAGTGAAGTCCAGCCCTACTTGCAGAGTGTCACGGGTTACCTGTTGTAAACAGGACTCAGAATAATATTCGGAAGAAGCCAGCCCGTAGATCGAAACACGTTGACTTTCAGTCAGTGCTGCGCAACACAAGTTCGAAAATCCCGTTCTGAGTCAGTGCTTTGCCTTCGTCTCACCCGTCCCCTTGTAGTCCGTCCAGGCCCAGAGGCACACCACGCTGAAGGTCATCAAGATTGGTCTTTTGAAAAAGAAGCGCAAGCAGGCCTGGCCAGGACCAGGTTGTTTATTGTTGCTGTTACGAGGTCCAGTCAAACACGGCAGGATATGAGGTTGCCTTTGTGTGGCTGGGTGGACAAAGATGGAGTCTGCAAAGCCATGAAGGCCAATGTAGGTTGCCATATCATTCAAGTCCAGTCTGTGTTGATCCTGCCTGTCAGGCGCCCTTGCCAGCGGTGGGGCCATTGAACTTGCACGTTGTCTGGGTCTCAAAGTGAAGCTGCTACCTTTATCCCTCGCCAATCTGCTTTAAACCCTGATTGAATCCTGATAGTAGTAAGTTACTGAATCTCAGGTCAACAAACAAAAGCCGGGAAAGAAAAAGGATGGCACTGTCCTTTTCTCCGGTGACCGGACTTTCAAGAGGTGGAGCAGCATCCGTACAAGACCCGGAATAGAAAACAACATAGTGAAGTGTGTTGTAACCGTATCGGATGGAATGGTTGCCTTCAGGTTGCTTCAGTTCCACTACGAGGGTGACTGGTTCCGGTGTTAGCCACCGCGGCGTGCGGGCGCAGTCCCCAGCAGAAGTTAGAAAGATAACATGAAAGACATGCCGAGTTGTTGCTGGGCCCAGGACCTCGCAAATCAGATTGCCTTCTCAAAGGAATTTCGGGAGGCCGGGGGCAAGCCCGAAGGCTTTCTATCAGTCCAAGCAGCTGAATGGTTTTCAGGCCGGGCACATAGCAAAAACCGTCTCGCTTGTCCGGTTCTGAATCCTAGTCGCCCACAGGACTGCCCCGCGACTGGACCTCGTCAAAAGCCGGTGCTGTGCCAAGTGGCATCCTCCGAAGGATGTGGCCACAGCTCTTCGAGGCTTTCTGATTAGCATTCTGTTCTCAATATTGAATTGTGACTGATGTCCAGACGAACCGGGCCATGAAGTGCGTGTCCCTTTTCACGGGCGTCGCCGGGCTCGAAGTCGGTCTGGCCCCGTGCGAGGCCCAGTTGTCATTCGTGCCAGAGCTTTGATTTGACGTTGACATGTTCATTGATGATTGCCGTTTGCTGCTTCTTTCTTACTGTAGCATTTGCCTGTCAAGCAGTAGACACTTTTCTGTTTCAGCATTCATCTCCTCTCCTGGGCATCGTGCGCCATGCAGGGACATAACTTTCGTACGGTGACGACCGTTGGCGTAAATCAGGTGAAGCCCAGAACTCAGTCAGTCCGTCGATGGCAATTCAAGTCCAACTTTAAATAGTTTGCGCCTTAGGTGCAATGTTACGAAGTGAAGAGAGAGTCTGCGCCAGGGTTGCCCCGGACACGGTTGTTTGGTGCCGTTGGAAAGGTGCCGTGTCGCTTGCAATGCATACTGAGGAGATCATTTTCTAGACAACGGTGCCTGTTGTTACTGTTACTGGTTCATGTGCTGCGGAATTTAAGGTGGCTCTGGGACTTCAAGGCCAGAGCCTGGACGATGACATCAGAAGAGTCTATCCATGAGGGCGCCGAGGCACTTAACGTGCTTCGGCTTCTGCATGTGATTTGTTCACATGTCAAGGTGCGTAGTAATAGTAAGTAGTCGTCGCACGGCTAAAATATATTATTATTATGTGGATACCGTTGCATGGTCGACTGCAGGTGCATGGAGATGCTGACCAGAGCAAGAAGAGGAGAACTGAGTGCGCCAATCGACATGTTGAAGTCTGTGACCAGAAGACGCAGCCATGAGAAAGTTCTCCAGTCGCTATGATGTCTCTTGCTGTTTCCTCTTTCTTGGGAGAATCTGCGGCTGCTGTGTGCTGCACAGTTGACAAGTAGGCTTCGGTGTGTGTTGGTCCGGTGTGCTTTGAGGTGGTTCCACGCTGTGGACATGGCAGGGTGCTTGGCCGCTCACTGTCGAAACAGATTCGCCTGCAATGGTTTTAATCCCTTAGGTCGAGAGGGACAGCGACTGCCAAAAGGTGCTACAGGCACGAATGGCAGAAGGCAACCTCCCATGCTGTGAGATCCATCCGGACATTGAAACGTACCAGCCTTCTGTGATGGGGCTCGAAGCAGAAGCAATTCTGGCCGGCTTCCCCTGTCAGGCCGGCTTCCACGTGCATGTTGTAGTGAAACATGATGGTTCCTGTCCATGCTTTCACGAATTATGTTTCTTCATTCTGCGATCGTCAGGGGGTTAGCGCCGCCGGCGCGCAAAAGGGCATGGGCGATGACAGATCCTCCTTGATTCGATGTGCTTTCCACTGCTTCGACAAGCTGCCCAATGCGCAGCTTGTCGTTTTTTGGAGAACATTTTGGGCTGCACAGTGCATGTTTTGCGGCTTAGATGCCACCCCACTGCTTGCAGGAGACTCATGCTGATTGAGAATGTCGGTGCTCTGCTGCACAAGCAGAGTAACTGCAGAAAGGTGTTCCTGTACATTCAAGAGGCTAGTTGGGTGAATCTCGGCCGTTACATGCTCTTGCTTTTAACTCCTACCGACAGGCCGCTTCCCAGCGCAATCTCCAGCTCCATTGGTGCAGTTTGACCCTGGCACAATGCGGGCTCCCTGCTCGGGACCCAGCACGCTCTCGTTTGCAAGGCTCCTGAAGATTCAGATGCAACCTCCGAGGCTTGCAGGCGCCGGGTCTTTTTGCTGGCGGCGAGTCCGGACATCTCTGGATTCCCTGAGGCTGTGGTCGTCTCATGTTGCGATTTCAGCATCATTCTGCATGTCTGCAATATGGTCGAGGCCATCCTGCCCCTGGAGCACTTGACGACGGGAGATTGGAATCCTCTGGCGGCTCTGCCAATGCAGAAGTGGTTGTCTGAAGCCAGGACACCTGAGGATGCCAAACGCGTGCACATGCTGGGGAACGTTGTAGTTCCACGGCAGGCAAATGCTGCGATGTCTGTGTTTTATCACATGCTTCGGTCGAAGACTTGAGGCACCCGCAGAGTGACAGCATTAATTAGCTACAGGCGCCCCGGTTTTGATCGCGAATCTGGAAGCAGTGCCAAATAGTCCGTTTCCCATTGTTGCAGAACATCGCTTGTTGTACAGTGGCCTTCGCCTGTGACTGCTATTATTATTGTTAAGCTGAGTGCCTCAAAATGCCTGTGCTGGAACCAGCTGTGTGGGACGGCTACTTCATGGATGCCTCTGCCCCCAGTGAACGATTTAAGTGACGAAGAGGAACCAGCCAAAGTCACAGCAGCTTTGACTGTTTTATACTGCTGTTACACGTGGGGTTTTGCTGCATCGGTGTTAAGTTTCAAGTCTAAGTCGCGTCATGGTGGAAGCAGAGCTGAAGGGAGCTTTCGTGATGTTTTTTTGTGTTTGCAAGAAGTCTTGACCACGATGATGGCCGCATCCAGGATCGGCAGTCGAAGGCCCAGCCCAGAGGCCGTGGCAAGAAGCGTGCTCGGTCCACCGAGCGCAATCCGACATCAGAGGTCGATAGCCTCTTGAGAAGAAGATGCAGCACGAAATGCAAAAGGCTGTGCCTTGCCAAGTTTTGTGCTCCGGCGAGACGAGATGCGCTCCTGGCTTTCCGCAAAGAGTGGCAACAGCTTCACAAGCTTGACCAAGACAATGTGGTGGCTAGTCTGAATCGCTTCTTTATTTCATCAACTTCATGCAGTGTGCTTGTGAATCCGATCGGGCCTTGATTCTCCTGAGTGTAGTATGCTCTGCGCAATATTTGAGGCCTTCCAGACCATGGTGTGCCTGATCACGGAGTCCAAAGCTGCTCGCGAGGAACGCATGCAATGGAAGTTCCTTGATGAACCGGTTTGTGTCCGTGCCTTTCAATCGTTGCACAGTCTGGGCAGCTCGGAATGAAACTTTGTGATGTGGAAGAACCCTCTTTGGTCCGAGACTGTCTGGTGGAGAATTGCTCTGAGGTGCCAGCAGATTTTCGAGGCTCAGCAAAGCAGCACGTGCAGGAAAGATTGCCCCTCCAGCCGACATTCGCTACCTGCAGCGACCCGCGCAAGTCGGCTGTGAGCCTGAGAATGTTCGTTCCGAGATTGTGTCCTTTCTGCAGGGCTTGTACGATTCAACGGCAGAAACATTGCCTGATGTGAGAGATGACACTTTTGAGCCGAACGAAGATGCCTCGGTCCAACTTATGCAACATGCCGCGAGTGATGGGCAGGATGACTATGCTTGCACTATGGAGAATCTGCAGCAAATCAGGACCTTCAAAAATAGCAAGCAAACACGGAATCCGAAGAGGTCGGTCCAAATCCGGCGGACCGAGGGGGAAATCCGCTACCTTCCTCCAGGTACCATGAAGGAATACTGGGAACAGTTGAATTGCCAGCGTGAACCTGCGAAGCCTGTCAGCTTTGCTTTCTTCTGGAGAGCCACTTTGCACATATTTCAAGTTGCTTGTGGTTTCTTGTCCCGAGACTTGAAGTCAGTAGGCTGCGGTGTGTTTTCCCATGCAGACTTGCTGCTTCGTGCTGCCGACGTGCTTGGGCGTCTGAACCAAGGTATGGTATCAGGACTTCGCTTTCCTGAAGTTTCGAGCGCAGTCCAACCACGCCACTTGCAGTGTTTGTTTGCGCCACAAAATGCTGATCAAAGATTTGTCAGGGCATTTGCTGGCCAGGAAGGAGCAGGTCAAACGATATCATAGCCACCTGAAAGACCAGTACATGGACAGGATGACGTACTGGTCGCTACGCGGTGAAAGCCGCCTTCGCGGCGGTGCTTCAATCACCGCCATCATCGACTCCATGGACCAAAGCAAGACCTGTCTTCCTAGAGGGGCCTGCATGAAATCGAAGGCACGTGGCTCCCAAAAAGCTTGTCGGGGTAACGGTATGAACAGAGTTCCCATTGTGACTCAGATCAGTTCTTGGCAGGATCTCAGCAACATGCAACGTCCGAAGTGCCACATCACGGCCGTCATAATCCACGGCTTTGCTATCTTTTTGTTCCTCTCGGAGCACAACCAACCCAAGAATAGTTCTGCAATGATCGAGATGATGAGTCATGCGTTGACCGTGATCTCCCAGCAGTGTGCGCTGAAGTATGTTTCGTTGAACATACAATCTGACAATACGGTCAGAGAGATGAAAAACAATCCCTTTGCCAAGTGGATGGCCAGTTTAGTCTCGCACGGAGCCGCATTTGCAAGCAACAGGGTCCTTGCATGTTTTGAGATGCTAGGGGAACGTTCTCTTCGGTCCTAGTTTTAGTCCTCAGAGTACTTCAGAATTGAGGAAACCTGAGGGAGTGTTCGCTGCGCAATTTGCGCAGCGGACACTCACATGAAGACGTGGACCAGCTGTTCGGAAGGGCAGCGAAGTGGTTGGCACGGTATGGCAGAACCGCTCAGACACCCGGTGATTTGCTCGAGATATTACAGGAGTTCTTGAACAAGGTTGACCGGCCATACGAGCGGCAACGGGTGGTCGCGCAGGTGGACAAAGTCCGAGATTGGTTGCTTGCTTGCAGGATGTAGTTAACCATCTGCTATGCTTTGAAGGTAACCGTCAGGAGGTCTCAGCATTGTACTCGTATCACTTAACGTCGATTTGAGTTGTATGTTGCTTGCAGTTTCTGGACGAGAAGCCTGAGATCAGATTTTGAACTTGGAATCAGCCAAGGAAAGGATTCTTGTCAGAAGCCGTCCCGATCATGATCAAAGGCCTCAACGGACCCGGCGCACCGCACACACTGCACATGTCCCGCCGAGAGCAATTGAGCCAGCTGCTCAGGGTTGTTGCATTCACCTTTTCCGTGGCCTACGCACGTGTCACACAGTTACCGGTAGCCTTCTATACCATCATGATGTCAGGTCCCGACGATTTGCAGAAGGTGGAAGATCCGTACTGGAGGGTGCCGCCCTCACCACGCGATGTGATTCTCAGGCGCCATGTAGAAGTGGGCACTTCTTTAAATGCACATGCACGTTCAGTCATCGATCTGAAGCAGTTGTTTTGTTTTTTTGTTGTTGTTCTCGTCCATGTCGTGCAGGTGCAAGCGCTACATGGCCAGCACCGATTATTGCCAGAGTTTCCTCTATTTCCCTCGACGGGTTGCCTTGCAACGCCACCCCATGGGTCTTCCTGCAGGCTTTCCGTGGCATTGCAATCACGAAGTCAAGCACAGAAGCAGACACTGAGCCTTGAAAGGACTACAGCCTCGCAACCCCATCGGCAAGGACTATGCAGATCACTTGAAGAAGTGCCTGCCATTGCTGCGCAGCTACAACCTGTCACGGGCTGCCGATTATCTCGAGGGATGGATGCAGGGCACTTTGGAGCAACAACCCCTGCTTGATGTCTCTGCGTACCTGGACTGATGTTAAATGTGTGCTTCATGTTCTCTTGCTGCTGTCGCTGCTGCTTGCTTGTCCTGTGGCAGTGTCTTCTTGCTTGCAGGTGTATGGTCACTCCAGGTCCGCAACAGTACGATGCTGATGTTGGCAGACTGCAATGCTTCGATGTGCCGGGAAAACCCGTTTCGCCGGAGCCTTGAAGGTTTCACATTCAGCTTCTAAGCAGTGACTCACGCATTGAGGCTTCAGCGTGGGCCAGATGACAGGAAGGATGCAGTGCGGTACGTGCAGAGATCCAAAGAGCAATTGATTTTCCAATCAGCAGCACGTGCATGGAGCCACGGTGTGCCATGGGCCGAAGCTCTGAGTATCTGTTCGAATGCAATCAGCAAAGCTTCGGCCAAGCCCAAAGCAATCCCAAAGGGACGTGCACGACAGGCGCGTGCAGGCTGACAGGCCGACATGGAATGGATGTTGTGGTGGCCATACTAATTGTCGTAAGGCTCAAGGGTATTTAATGCTATTATTATTATATTGTAATTATACTACTGAATACAACTCGTCTACTTCTTGGTTGTACGTTAGTGAGATGTCCATTCTACTTCGGTCTGGTATCCTGTTTCGTGTCAGTCTCGGCAGTGATAATGCCTGAACAATGACAAGCTGACGAGCTCAAAGTGTTACCGGTGCTGTTTCCAACATGGAAAAAATGCGGGTACGATTTCAGGACAAGAGTGCTTGTCAGTCTTTTGCAGCATTCCAAAGTCGTGGATTCGCTTGTTCCTTAATGCATGTTACATGATGGCCAACGTTACAAATCGAGGGGGGTGCGGCATGGACATTTAGGGGGTCTCTCCCCCTGGAAGAAGTTTAAAACAGGAACCGGAGGAAACGCTTTGTGGCACTTGCCTGCACGGCTCTGTGTGAGGCCAATGACTCCGTAGCGCGATGACTTTAAAGTGGTGCTCACGTCGTTTCCGAGATTGCCGAACCTGCTGCGTGGAATTATTGAGAACAGTCCTTGTCTTTTGCAGCTTTTCAAATTCGTGGATTTGCATGCTCCTAATGGATTTAAGCACTTTGGCTGAGGTTACGAATCGGGTGGTACAAAATGAAAAAAAATTGGGGTGCGGCATGGACATTAAGGGGGGCCCTCCCCCTGGAAGGAACAAAACAGGCGGCGGATGAAACGCTTCGTGGTACTTGCTTGCACGGCTCCGAGTCAGGCCAATGACTCCCTAGCGCGATGACTTTTAAAGTGGCGGAAACGTCGTTTCCGACATTTCGAAAATCAGCCGCGTGGAATTATTGAGAACAGTCCTTGTCTTTTGCAACTTTGCAGATTCCTGGATTCCCGTGCTCCTAATGGATTTTGCACTTTGGCCGAGGTTACGAATCGGGTGGTGCAAAATGGAAAAAAATTGGGGTGCGGCATGGACATTAGGGGGGGCCCGCCCCCTGGAAGAAGAAAACAAGCGCTCATATCCGACACTTCATAGCACTTGCCGGCGCGGCTCGGGAAGTGTCGGATCCGGGGTCGCATCCGACACTTCGTCCTGCATCTGCACGAAACTTTGCTATAATGCAAGAATTTCATTATGAAGGATGTGCGCCTGAACCAGCACGAAGTGTCGGATCCGACCCTGGATCCGACACTTCGTGGCCCCTCGGCGCGGGAGCCGGGAAGTGTCGGATTTCTCCCCTGGCCGTGGACCTCTCCTCGGAGCTGCTTCTCTTCAAAACTTGTGTTGACTGTCCTTGCCTTCAGTCTGGTTGAGAGTGCTTGGAACACTGACTGAAACTTTGTGTTTGTGTGTGTGTGTGTGTGTGTGTGTGTGTGTCTGGGAGCAGTGATTCTACATTCCTTTGCTTCGGGCAAAGTCTCGTCATTCCGATGCAACTGTTGCTTGCTGTAGAGATTTCCATGCTGTCAGCCAACAGGAATCACTTGACTGAGCTTGCAGCTGCCTTCTCGAGCGCCTCGAAGTCAGGGCAATGAGCGGTGTGCTTCCCAAGAAGAGGAAGTCCGGGGATGGAATCGGAAAGGGGAAGGTGAAGGCCAGATCGACCGAAAATCTGGAGCCGACCTGGGTGCAGAATGTGATAGACTGGTCCCTCAGATCAAAATGGAACCCATCGTGTTCAATGTCAGTCAAACACGGCAGGAACATCCCGAAGTGTGTCTCGTGAAAAGAATATGATGTGGTCAAGCATTTCTGAGGTTTCGGCTGGAGGTTATGCCAGCTGGCGGACCGGACATGTACCTTGAGCAGCGCTATCCATCGCAGGCCGGTTTGAACTTAGTTGTTTCAGAGTCCATCCAAGGTTTACAGTTTGGGGTCGGGGTCCGGTTTTCTAGGTTTATGTGTCTGCCTTTGAATTTGTGCAAGACATCGATTGAGAGAGAACAGCCGAAATTCTGTGTACCCCATCCTGGCCTAGGTCGCTTGCTTCCCTTTCTCCCTGCAAGTTGCAGCTTCTGGGGGGATGGTTTTGAAGCTTAGGTTTCGGAGTTCAGGGTAAGGGTTCAGAGGGTTGTTCTTGACAGGCCGCGAAAACAGACTTCGCACGGTTCCTGGATGAGCAGTACCCTCCAGATCCTTTGCAGCTTGGCTCCGCTTGTCAATCTGATGTCTGACCACACTGAGACTGTGACTGTCACTTAGATTTTGTGTTATGTCCCACGGCTACTGCCTCAGGATCACCTACGGTGATGTCGTGTCGCTGGAACGACCTGGACCGGTGATGCTTCGTCCTTGGCAGATGTCGTACCGCAACGACACCGGACTCAGCGGTGGGTATTGGGAACCCGAAGAAACAGAGAGACTTCTGGAACTGATTGCAACAGAGGGGCTGCTTAGCAAACATTATCCCCAGGCCCACCTGCAATCATCCAAGATCGTAGTCGTAGCACCAGCGCAGATGAACGGGTGCACAGCCTAGGATGAGAACGAGTGCGGACTTGCCTGGAGTTGAACGTGTTGCTGTGACCAAAGTCTCTACAGAATTCCTCAATAGTCCATGGACGCCAGTGCCTGTCCTCTGCGATGAGTACAGTGTCCTGTCTCAAATTGATAGTGCCTGACTGACAATTATTGTTTGTCTTTATCACTTATCATTATTAATTATTATGCAATGCTAACTGCTAACATGTATCTCATCAGGGCCAAGGCATCAGAACTGGAAGTCACGTGCTGCGATCTAAGGTGGGCTGCTGCCACCCTTCAGCGTAGCCTATGTGAAGGGCTACCGGCGCAGCGTTGCCATGCTGATTCTGTTACAGGGGATTAAGGAGTTGGGCGTCCAGCCTGAGTCGCTTCCGCATGGATTCAAGGCAGGAGCAGTATTGAACGAATTGAGCTTCGATTGCAGCATACCATCCCCTTCGGGCATTACAGGGCATCTCAGACATGTCAGAATGTCACAACAGGCATCCGTCGCCACCATTCACGGAACGGTCGGGCACTTCAAGGATGTCAAAGACAAGGTCCTGGCTGCCCGAGGACGACTCAGATAGTAGGACGTTAGGAATGTTTCTGTGTTGTAACTAGAGATTCATTGATTGACAACTAACTTCAACACATCGTGGACTGTCACACTCTGTCATCCTTCTCAAGCCTCCTCGTCCTTCCCAATTTGGGTACTTTTTTGGGGTCCGGGCCTGTTTCCCAAGCCCCCTCCGCCCGAAATTTGGTTTCCTTGTTCAGCGAGGCTTTTTCCGAAATCTCCTCCTTTGCAAATGAAATTGGGCCTCCTTTCTTGGGGCCCCCTTCTTGGGCGGGTCTCCTACTACCCAAATTTTCTTCAAGCCTACTAAACCCTAAATACGCACTAAACCCTTAAAGCCTACTACGAAACCTTAACTTAACCCCTAACCCTTATAAAGCTTAATAAACCCTAGCCTTAAAGCCTACTAAACCCTAAGTCAACCCCAAACCCTTAAAGCCTACTAAACCCTAACTTAACCGCAAACTGTTGGCGCCCAAGCCTCCTTTAACTTTCCAAGCCTCCTCCTTCCCATGTAGGGAACCGTTTTTAAAAGCAATGGAGCTGTGCGGCAGGAATCACTATGGCCGCAACAAGCACAAGGAGAAGTCCGAACTGTTTCAACTTCTTGCGACAGCTGGAAGTATTGGAACGGGGGAAAGCTACTCACAGCGCTCAGGTTGTGCATTGCCATG